CAAATTCTCTTTGATAGTTTTTGAGCTGTAGACTAGATCAATATCATCCACATAACTCGGAGATCGCACTATTCTCATATTTCTATTTTTGAATAGATATGCAGTGTATATTGCAAATAAAATGAGTGAGATTGAAGACCCCTGTGGTACTCCTATTTTTATCTCAGTCTTGTCTTGTTTCATTCCATCAAAGAAGAGTTGTATAATTCTTTTAGACATAAAACAGTTAACCCATTTTATTAGGGAAAGTGGCAGTTTTAATATCTTCAATGTCTGAATTAACTTTGACTTTGAAACATGATCAAACACTCCTTTTATATCAATAAAAACTGCAGTTGAGACCAGACCCTCATGCTTTGCTATTTGAATATCATGAACAACTGAGAGAACAGTGTCAATTGCAGAACACTGTTTTCTACCTCCCATTTGTTCACTGAATAAAAGAGAATCATCTATAGAGCTTATAAAAGATAGTTGAGTAGCTATTATCTTTTCTAAAACCTTTCCTAAACAGTTCAATAGAGATATTACTCTATATGACTTAGGAATTGAAGTTTTTCTATTAGGTTTTGCAAGAATCACTCCAGTGGCTTCTCTCCAGCATTCAGAATGATATCCATTTTTCAAGAGATTGAAAAAGAGCTCAAAATATTCATTCTTTAAGTAGGAATATGTATTTTGAATAATCAAGTGATTAATTGAATCTGGACCTGCAGCAGTTTTAACAGAACTTGAGAAGATAGCTGACTCTAATTCATCTTGTGTAAGATCAGGCCATTCCCAGTCATTTTCATCAATGTAGTTGAGAAGTGATAAATTCTCTTCCTCTGAATCTGAATCTGAATCTGGTGAGTTCTGAAAGAGAATTCTCATGAAAGCTTGACATTTTTTCTCAAAAGAGTTTGCTGTATATAATTCATTCTGAAACTCATATTCTAGAGCTGGAAGTTTTGCTACACTTCTTGTTTTAGTATAGTTAAAAGCTTTAAAAACTTCCTTTTCTTGTGCTTCTTCAAGAAATTTATTCCAGCAGTCTGTTTTAGCTCTTTTAATATCTGAAAAATATTCATTTCTGACAGTTTTGAACTCTTCATCAGATATTACATCATTCTTCCAATCTCTTCTAGCAGTAGCTAATTCTTTTCTTTTAGATGAGATATTCTCATTCCACCAAGGTTTTGAATACTCAGAAGATTTTCTTTTTGAAATATTATCTCTAACACTTGTTAGAATGATAGATGTAATAAGCTTCACTCTATTCTCAAGCATTTCATTTGAGATATCTTGACCAGAATTCCAATATAGCTCATTCTGTCTTTCAGATTTTAACAGTTTTATGCTTTCTTCAACTGCTTTCCAATCAGCTTTTTCAAAGTTATACTGATTAGAGAGAAGAGGATTTTCACTCATTTGTTTTTCACTCAGTTCAATATCAAATTGAATAATCTCATGACCTGATCCTGATGTCTCATTTGAATCAATAAATCAGTTTACAAGTCTTCTTTCCATTAGATTTTGTGACATGAATGTTAGATCTATAATAGACTTCTGTTTCATGCCTTTTCTAAAGAATGTTTGTTGATCAGACTTATTAACTAAATCTATTGAATGCTCAAAGGTCCATTCAACCAGATTATCAGCTCTCACTGCTCTCTTGCATTCTGAATTCCACCAGGGATGATGTGCATTGAAATCTCCTGCAATTATAGAGTTTCTTGATGGAGTTATGTTCAGAAATCCTCTATCAATTGTCCAGATATTGTTATTTTCCTTCAATGACTTTTCATTATAGATATTTATGAGCTGTATAGTATCAAACTCATTTTCTTTATCTATAATATCACCCACCAGAATATCAGGGTCAGACATGATATCAAATCTTAGATTAAATTGATATCTTGATCTCTTTCTTCCATAGATCACTACTCTTGACTTTATCTCAGACTTTTGAGATAAAAAGCAGTAGTAGCTTGAATGAGAAATGACATATTTTTGCTCAGCATCAAAATTCGGCTCCTGAAGCAGTACAAAATCAACTTTTTATTCAAATGCAATTTGAAGACAAGAATAAATGCAATTTGAGTTTCTATCCACATTATTTTGAATAAATGTAATTTTTGAAGAGTTTTTAAACTTTTTTTGTTGTTTTTGTTGTATATTCATACTAAAAGAGAGTAGAGAAGAATCTAATCACTATTATCAGATAGTAGATTATAACTGTTCTGAAAAGTAGGAATCTCAACTGCTTGCATTATATCTAGTTTATCATCAGAGTCATTTCTCAATTCTCTAATCTTAACAGGAGTTTGAGGATTCAAATTCTGTTTACATTTTGCTGGAGAATTGAAGTTTGAAGACTTAGATAATTGAGAGTTTCTTCTTTTTGAGCTTGCAGTTGTGAGTTTACTGGCTTGACTCTTCTCTTCAGTTCTAGATTGACTTTGAGCTTCATCTTTTCTCCAGTTCTTTTGAGTTCTAGGAGCAAACATACATTCTTTAGAGCTAGATGCATGTTTTTCTTTGCAATTAGAGCACTTAAGCAGAGTATGTTGACAAATTTCACCTCTTTTTGAGCATGTTTCACATTTATGCTCACTAGTTTTGTGATCTCTGGCACAGAATGCACATTTTGAGTCTCTAAAACATGAGATTGCAAAGTGTCCATATCTTTGACAGTTTGAACACTGTGTTTGAGCTTTGAGATTCATTCTTGAGTCTTTGTATTCATGAACTCTCATTTTCAAACCTGCTACTCTTACTTCAGAGATCTTTGACTGTTCAAGTGTTTTTGTATATACTAGAACAGAGGCATTTCTCCTGCTTTGTCTGAACTCAATTGAATTTAGTCATACAGGCTCCTTTCTCAGTTGAATGGAGTTGTATTCTTTCAATTCATTTTTGAGAAGTAGCATTCCTTCTTCACAGTCAAAAATTTCAACTGAAATATCATGAAGAATGAATTTGCCCCACTTTTCATCTCTTTCAGATAGAATTGTTGTGTTTAGCAATGATTCTACTGCTGACTTCCAGAGATTCTCATTCTGAATAAGGAATTCAGCACTGAATTCAGGCATTGTAGTCAGAATAATAGAGTTTCCAAAGAATGATGACTCAATTGAAGCTATAACTGGTTTTTGAACTTCAATATCAGTCATCAACTGAGAAAAGAACTGCTGATTAATTTCATTTCTGATTCTGAAAATGAGATTTGAGTTTAGCTTGTTTCTTTGCAGAATATCCTGGTTTGAGACTTTGAGAATGAGTCTTCTATTTCTAGAGATTTGGAAGTTTTTCTCTTTTTGCATTTTCTTTTCCACTTTTCTATGAATAGAGGCATGAGCAGTATTCTTCTCAGTTTTCTCAGGATTTTGAGCAGGTTTTGAGACAGCAGGTTTAGAGACAGCAGATTCAGCTGCTTGAGCATATGTTTTCTTCTGATTCAAAGAAGAAGAAGGAGTAGGAAGAAAGGAAGAAGAAGAGTAAGATGAAGAGTCAGTGATTGTACTAGGAATTTTCAAGGTTTTTTGAACTGTGTTTGAGATTCCAAGTTTGAACTTGATCACCTTCTGTAGTTGTCTGGCCTGAGCATGAAGAATTAACAGAACTTCTTCATTCATCTCACTCAGACACTGCTTTCCAAGAATCTTGCTTGCTTTTTCAAGTTCCTGTATTTCAAGAACTTGTTGTTTCTCTATTTCTTCTTTCTTTCTTCTCTTCAGAATTTCAATCTCAGGAATAGCATTTGAGAAAGCATCTTTTTCCACATCAACTGAGCGTATTTTTGAACTCATTGTTTTCACTCAATGAAAAGTTGGTCAGACTGTTTCAATTGAGATATTTCTAAGTCTGTTTTCAATTGAAAAGTTGGTCAGACTGTTTCAAAAGAAGAATAAAAGACTTTTGTGTATAAAACACCTGATTTTTTTCACACTAGTTCAGTAACTAGGTTAGATTTTTGAAGAGAATCTAATAAACTAAAATTGATTTTTAAGATAAATCAATAAAATCTTTACAATCTCTTTCTTGGGATACAGTGAGGAAAAGTATGATATCAATTGATAATAAATCAGATAATATGACAGTTTTTGAGAGAAAAACTGACAAAAAATAAATCAATTTTTTGCAGAGAAATTGATTAAAACTATTCAATTTTATTCTAAATCATTCAATTCTCCTCACACAACAAGTGTGCAACTCAAATCAGTTAATAAAGAGTGTAAAAAAGAATTAAGTATTAATGAAAGCTCTTCAGCCACTGAAATAGTAATTCTTACTTAAAAGAATATGAAATTATGACAGAAAACAACTCTGTTTTTAATTCTTTGTAAGAATATTGTGTAAAACCCAGAGAAAAACACCTTACTTTTTCAAGAGAAGTAAAAAACTATTTCTAAGATCTTTTTTTTTTGCATTAACTGCTGCAGAAGAATGAGATAGAAACTGCTAAGATATGCACTACTGTATACTCTCTACCAAGACTTTCCCTCTTCAGAGTCTTGATATTATAGAGAATATAAGTCTGTTTCTATATAATAATATAAATATTGTCAGCAGGATGTAGAGGAACTGATTATTTATATCTCAAAATAGAAGACTTTGTCAATGATTATATCAATATAGAGTTAATTCTCAAATTCAATAGAAACCTAGTGTTGCTGTTCTCAATCCCTTGCAGAATCTATTGAATATTGAGATATTAAAACTAGATTTAATATATCTCACTGTGCAGGGATCAAAGGCTCAGTCAGACCTTGAAATATACTGATTTTATAGTTGTTGATGTGCTGTTGACTCGTTGTCCACTGATTATGTATTGAATACTGTTGCCGAGGTATCTTTTTGTATCGTTCTGCTGGGGATGGGCCAGATTGAGAGGGGTAGTACAGGGGTGAGACTTGGTGTTGAAGTCTAGATACACTGGCGGCGGACTGTGGAGGTTGCACTTCAGAAGAGTCCGTTGATTATGTGCTTGATATTATCGCCGAGGTATCTTTTTTTATTTTTCTGCCGGGGATGGGCCAGATTGGGAAGGGCGGTACGAGGGTGAGACTTGGTGTTGGTGTTTTGGAACATCAAAGATGGACAGGGTTTTCGCGGAGGTCGCTCCTCGGATATCTCCACAACTACAGGTCGGGGGTCTTCCAAAATCGAGAAGATTGGTGCATATGGCTAGGTCACTTCACCTTACAATTTGTATGGCACTCTGGCCCGGGGTTGTGGTGTGGTAGGGGAGAACGGGGGATAATCCCACACAGGAGCTTCGAACAACGTCCGGTTCACGTTTGGCTGGATAACTCCACCACCACACGGGGTATGCGGTCGGCGATGGGGTCAAAATGCTCGTATGATCGAGGGCTTTTCGATGGATCTATCGGCGGGTTCTTATTCGAAAAATCGAGCGAGTTCGTGGTGGAGCGGTTGAATAGAGATGTACACATTGCTTGTGAAGAGCTTCATAACCTCTTGAAGAATAATGTTATTGTGTTGTAATCTAACTACGCGAGTTACACTAAATGAATAGGTTGGGGTGGCATGTGACTAGAGTAGGTGTAGTAATCACCAACATGATATAGTAATAGAATAATATAGTGATATAATAATACAGTAATATAATGATATAGTGATATAATAATAGATATTATATAATTAACAAGAAAATCACTGAAATAAATACCTTCTCTAGCTAATATGAACAACACTCTTCTCTGCTATCTGAATCAGAAGATATACAGAACCTCTTAGAGAGTTTACTCAAAGTAGTAAGAAAAGTAACTGAGACTGCTGAACTGAAATTAAAACTCTGTACATGTATGAGAATTCTAAACAAGATCAAGGTCTTGTGTATACAGTGACAGACTGAGATGAAAATTAAATAACAATTAATATTCACTGCAGATTAAGCATTCACTATGAAGAGCTTTATCAACATAATCATCATTATTAATAAGAATAGAGAAAATCAGATCTTAGATCTGCAGCAGAAAATTGAATATTTATATAAATAGATAACTATACTGAATCTGAAGATCTTATTATAATTATTCACAATCTCTTCAGAAGTATATATATTATCAGAGACTGCTGTGTAGAATGAGAATCTGAGTATGAAATATATTAAGCTAAGAGATCTGCTGAAGTTATTAAGCTTTAATAACAACTGAAAAAATAATACTATAATCAGCTGACTAAGTCAGATGCAATTATATTATCAGATTGAATATGAACTCACAGATAGATAGTTAATAGAATTTTAACAAGTCTTAAGATCTGCTGTATTTCTATATGAAAAAGTGAAGTCATTATAAATAACTGATGAAAAAATAAATCTCACAGACTTGAAGTGATATTCATTCTTATAAATATAAAATAAGTTTTTCAAATGAATCTTGTATAACTTTGAGAAAGTGAATATATAAGACAAGTGTTATAAATACTTCACTGAGTGTAGATAAGTAAGTAATCTTATATTATACTTTATACACTTCAGCTTATACTATCTTATATTGAATAAAGAGCTTTTAACATCTTTCTATTTACAGATCTTTATTCATGATCTTATATCTGAGTTGAGAGTGAAATAAAAATACTTAATCTCACAATCAGACACAGTGAAAGAAGTATATAACATTCTCATTGTATAGAAACAAGTGAGTTAATTATAATAGAAAATACTGTAATTGAGTATATCTCAGTGAAGAACAGATAATCAGACTTCTATAACACAAGTTATACACTCAGATATAATAAATCTAGATCTGAATATCATTATTAAAGCACTGAATTCTCTGAAAAAGAGATTCTCTGAGTGAAAATCTTGATATTATAAGTATCAAGCTTGCTTTAACTGTGAATATTAAAATTATAATATAAAAGATTGCACTCAGCATGCACAGTCAAGAGAAGTAAGAGAGTTAAAAAACTAACAGAATCAGTGAGCTTGAAGACACTCACTGATATTCTATAAAAAGTCTTTAAAGTAAAAGAGATATCTGTATTAGATGACTCTCTGAATTCTGTAAATGTCAAGAGAAAGCAGGCTTCTGACTGAGATGTGAGTAAGAATGAAGTAAACACTCATCTCAATATCTTAAGATCTGAAATGTTAATGTATAGAGAGTACTTGAGTAAGAATTAAGAGATGACTGTAAAAGTGTTAACAGATATAGAAGCTTCTATACAATATATTAATAATTACATGATTCAAAGATTGAAAGAGATCTGCTGAGTGAAGAATTCTTGATATATAAGATTATCTAATAATTAATATCTGATATCACTCACAAAAGTAAGAGTTTTCTTGTACTTTAAAGAATGATCTTGTTATATTTGAGTGTGAGAGCTGCAGAATATGAAATACAATCTTATTCTCAGACTTAATTAATTTCAAAGGTTTAATTCACAGATTCAATGATGTACATATTATATGCAGTTGATTGATAGAAAGAAAATGATTCATACAATTCTATTAACTGATATAAGAAGAACATTTCATATCTCTGATATAGAAGAGTTAAATCTGCTTACACATTAATAAGTAAAGAGAATGATTTACAAGACCTCATCTGAAAGTATTCTATATATTATACAGAACTCAGAAGTGAAGAAAACCAAGATAAAGAATATACAGAAGAATAAGTATATGAAGAAGCTTCTGAAGAAGTATAAGAAGATCTTCTAAACAGATCTTTCACTGAAATTATCATCAGAACAAGAATTCATACATGAGATTGATATGAGAGATATAAAATCAGTTAATCAGAATGCATACTCTCTGTTACAAACATATCTTGAAGAACAGAAGTGTCAGATCACTGACCTTCTAGAATGTAGTCTTATACAACTCTCATCAAGTATATGAGACTTTTCAGTTCTATTTGTGAAAAAGACAGATGAGAAGTGATAAATGTGTATTAATTATTAAGCACTTAATAAGCTTATGATCAAGAATGAATATTCACTGTCACAGATTTAATAATAGTTAAATACAGTCAGAAACATCTGATATCTATTAAAGATCAATCTTCTCTCAGAATACTGACAGATCTGTATAGATAAACTGTCAGTTTCACAAACTATATTTAATATATAATGAGAGAAGTTTGAATTTCTGATAATATTATTCAGTCTGATAAATGTGCTCATCATCTTTTAAATAATAATGAATACAATTCTTTATAAACAGAATGAAACCTCATACTTCATATATCTTGATAACATTTTAGTCTTTTTAAACTCATATAATGAATATCTGAAGTATCTTAATGAAGTGCTTATAACTCTGACAGAGTATAAGCTCTATATCAAATTAATCAAGTGTGTGTTTGAAATGAAAGAGTTGAAGTTTATAGAATATGTAGTAAGTGATGACTATATACACCTCATTTCAGAGAAATTGAATGTCATAGTAAATTGATTATAACTGAGAAATATATATTATATATAACAGTTTCTTAAGTTGATCTTATACTACTGTAGATTTATCAAGAATTTCACATAAATATCTGTATCACTCTCAGATCTCTTAAGAGAAATGAATACAAATCTGTGAAAGAAGAAGTTTTATTCAATCATCTGAAATACTGTGTATGAAGAGGCTTTTCTCATATTGAGAGAATGTATAATAACATTCTCAGTGCTTATTTAATCAGATTGTAATAAACCTTTCTATATTAAGACAGACATATTTAAATAGACTATCAGAGACACTCTTCTACAGATGAGTAAAAATAGTAAGCTGCACTCAGTGATATATAATGATAGAAAACTATCAGACACTGAGCTCAATTACTCAGTGCATGAAAAGAAATTACTAGTGATTAAGCATATACTGATGTTATAAGATAGATATATTAACAACAGACATATAATAACAGTGATCACAGATTATGAAAGTCTCATCTATCTATAATTAATAATAAAACCTTTCAAACACTTAGTATGTTGAATCTCAGAGTTTCAAGTGTATAATTTTCATATTAAATACTGAAAGAGATTGAATACAGTGATACTGAATATAATCAGTTACAGACTTAATTTCATGAGTGAGAATTCTGTGAATCAGATATAAGAAATGTTCATGTTAAACACACTGAGAGAATACAAGAAATCAGAATGAGTGAATGTCATAATCTCTCACTTAAAGAATGATAAGATATCAGATGACAAGTATCTTCTAAGAGTAGTAGAAGAGATACTTCTGAACTTCAAGCTGAGAAAATTGAAAAATGAAAATGATATTGTACTTTATCACAATCTAGAATACATAGAAGCTCTCTATCTAGAATCTTTATTTAGACACAACTTAATGACTCACATGCATAAGAAATTCAGTCACTTAGAAAGCTCTGAACTTATAAGTGTACTTAAATCAAGAGCATACTGACTAAGCATGACTGAGAACATTCAGATATACACTCACAAGTGCCTGAATTATCAGATTATGAAAGAATCTAAGAAAGAATTAGAATATGAGAAAGTATAACATCAGATGAAGTGTACAATACAACTATTTAAATAATAGAGAGTGAATCTCATAGACATATTAATACAAATATCAAATGAAAATCAATGAATAATCACTGCTATTAATTACACTACTGACTGATCAGTCATGAAAGCAGTTTCAGAGATAATAGAGAAGATAATGATGAAGTTTCTATATAATAAGATCTATATTAACTATGAAATACTGTGTGAGATTCTAACTGATAACAGTGCAAATCTCATAGAAGAAGCAGTAAGACATTTCATGAGCCAGTTACAGATAAGACATTGTAGAACAATATTATATCATTCACAGATAAATGAAAAGATAAAATACTTGAATGAAATCTTAAGTAATATGCTGATAAAATATCTAGTGAGTAAGTCTATAAGACTATGAGATGAATATCTCAGACAGATGCTATTGATCACACGGATTCAACAGCATGCAGTCTTCAAGCGTTCATCATTCTATCTGTTGTATGAATTGCATCCGCGCATCTCAGAGAATGCTTCAGAAAAGATGAGAGAGAGAGCAGTTATAGATGCAGCAGAAACAGCAGTTACAGATGCAGTAGTAGCAGTTACAGACATAACAGTCACAGACACAGAATCAAGATTGAAAGAGATCAGTTACATACATGCAAAAGCTAACAAGTTACTTCTAAATCAAGCAATTCAATTGAAAAGAATACAAGACTCACTTGTTAAGAAATCAAGTCTCAAGATGAGAACATAAGTTCTCATACATAATGAGAGTTCTGAGAAGTTTCAACCTAGGTGATTTAAGTTATATAAAATACTCAAATCACATTCTCTGAAAATGTATGCATTGAAAGAATCAGAGAGACAGATCTTACACAACTTAATCAATAATTCATAACTTGTGAAAACAAAGATATAAGATCTGAGTGAATTATAATCATCTGCAGCACTATTATCAGCATTGAAAAAGAAGAGACTTATAATTGAAAAGTCTTGTAAAGTAAGAGAAATCATAGATACTT